GATTTAAATCTTATATTGGACGTCAAGACTCGCTGGAATTCTACGTATTTAATGATAGAACGTGCTCTTCAACTTCAAAAAGTAAGTAAAATTTTTAATCATTAATAAATACTAATAAAATAGTAATAAATTATTGAATTTTATTTAATTTTATAGCCTCTTGACGAAACAATTAGAATTGAACCCGAATTGGAAGGATTTTCAATTTCCTCAAATGAATGGCAAACATTAAAAGAATTATGTCGTGTATTTGCGATAATGGTTTTTTATTAAATTTTATTGCAATTGGTTCTTTTTATTTATTTTTAATTTAAAATTTAGGTTTTTTATAAAGCAACTGAAGAAATGTCAAAGTCAAAATTTATTACACTTTCATCTTCCATTCCAATATATAATGTTTTACTTGATCATTTAGAAAATCTTCTTGATAAAAATAATAAAGACCATTATTGCCCAATTCCGGAATTAAGATCTGCTATAAAAAAAGGATACGAAAAACTTCAAATATACTATTCTAAGACGGATGAATCAATTGTATACCCAATTGCAACAAGTAAAAATTAATTTTTAAATCTTATATTTATATTTTTGATGATAATTCAGATTATTACTTATTTATATGCATTTTATCATTTTTTAGTTCTGGATCCAAGAATAAAACTAAAATATTATAAACAACAAGAATGGGAAGAAGAGTATATTAATGAAGCAATAAAAATTATTAAGAAGCAGTATAATGAAAATTATCAAGATGATTCATTTAATAATGATCTTAGAGCTCAGAAAACTGATTCAAATAATTTTTTTAGTCTTTTTGAAATGGGTGATGATAATGATTCTTCTAATGAAGATGAATTAGAAGAGTATCTTCGTAAACCTGCAGTTAATTTTAAGACGGATCCACTACAATGGTGGAAAGTAAGTAAATTTTTTATAATTAATTTATTAGCATCTAATACTTTAAATTAATCTAAATGTAACTATATTATTATAGGCACACGAAGCTACTTATCCGCATCTGGCAAAGATGGCACGAGACTATTTAGCGATCCCAGGTAAGTATTTATTTGAATTTTTTATTTAACTTTTTCTAAGTTCTAACTTTTATAATTTTTAATAATAGGGACTAGTGTACCAGTTGAACGAATATTTTCTGGTGGATCTGATTTAATAACAAAAAGACGCTCTAGCTTGAAACCAGAAACTATTCAGACGTGCATGTGCTTAAAAAATTGGATAAAATATCTTCGATAAATTAATAAATGGAGATAACTGAGCTGATCACTTTTTAAGATTTTATTAATTATTATAATTATAATCTTTCAGAAAATTTTCTATTCATATTTTTTCTTTTATAACATTAATTTAGATTAGTAATTTCTTTCTATTTTTTTAAATTTATTAATTATTATGTAATAGCCAATACAAGACAAATAAAATCAAACTGTGAAATGTGAATTTTAATTCTTATATATGTTATTTGATGTGTAAATTATAAAATCAATTAAAAAAATATAAATATGTTATAATTTTTAACTTACAGATTGGCCGTAGTGTACCTGACCCGATCTGAAATACTAACCCATGGGTTGGGTCAGGTTAAAACTTTTTATAATCAGGTTGACATTTGACCCGACCCAAAAAAAATGAAATGGGTCAGGTCAGGTCAATTACCCGACCCAACCTGACCCATTCGGAGCTCTAGCAACAAGCTTACACTCCTCTTACAAATGTGTCTGCTTCATTATATGATCCTGTTTTGGCTCCTATTTCTCTACAAGAATGGTCTGCTGTGATTTCCTCCATGCCAAATAACAAAGCTTCCGGCCCTTCAAAAATTTCTTATGAGATGATTAAACACTTGTCCGGTGAAGCCTTGGATTTTTCTCTTTTACTTGCCAATACTTGCCTTTCTCGTGGTGATATTTCTGCTGACTGGCGAGAAGCCGTGGTTTATCCTATTCTTAAACCTCATGACTTTGATGCTCAACTTAAGAACACTCGACCTATTACCCTTCTGGAAACAGTTCGAAAATGTGTAGTTAAGGTCGTCACGAATCGTCTTTCCAACATCCTTGCTGATAATAAAATTCTCCAAGGTTGTAATTTTGCTGGTTTACCTGGTGGTTCTACGGATGTCCCTATTAAGATGCTTGATGCAATTATTCATCAACGTAAATATGACTCTACTGATGATCAGGAACTATGGATCGTTTCTCAAGATATCTCTAAAGCTTTTGATTCTATGGATTTAAATATGCTTAAATTAGCTTTAGTTAGATTACATATCCCTGCGCTTTTGGTGCGATTTATTTTGAATCTTTTTACACGACGTAATAACAAGATAATTACTTGTCATGGCGATACAGCTGCTTATCGAGTACGTGTTGGTATCGATCAAGGAGAAATCATTTCCCCTCTTCTTTGGGTTATTTATTTGGATCCCTTACTTACTGTTTTGAATCAAGAAACACGAGATCCTTTTATTTTAAAATCTTCAGCTCTTCTAAATTATTCTCCACTTGAATTTGAACAACATTCCTTACCAATTTCACATTTAACGTTTATGGATGATTCTACACTTATTGCCTCTTCAAAGTCTGGAATAGAAGATCGTCTTTCTATTACTGCTGAATTTTATACTTTAAATAATGTTCAAGCTAATTCAGCAAAATATGTTCTTCTTTTATCCTCTTTGCCTTCTTCAAAGATTATTTTTGAACTTTTACCTTCTTCTTTAGTTTCCGATACTTCTCTTTCCCTTTTCTCTTTATCTCTTAATACTTCATTTCGTTTCTTAGGAGTTTGGTTTTCCTTGTCCGCCTCTTCCGCTTTTGTTTTGAAACAAGCGCGCTCCATGGTCAACGATATGGCTGCTCTTCTGGGCCCAAAGAAATTATTAGCTCAACATGTGGCCTATCTCTATAATGCTGTCCTTCTTCCGCGATTGGAATTTCGTCTTCAAACTACCCTCTTCTCTGAAAGTACTATTCAATCAATAGTTACACCTATGTTTTCAGTACTTCGAAGAAAAGCTGGACTTGCTGCGACTACTCCGTTGGCTTTGTTATTTCTTAAACTTCCTTTTTCGATTCAGAATGCTTTTTATCGATTTCTTTCTTCCCATATCGCATCTTGGAAAAAAATTTTCATTCACCCTGATTTCAAAGATTTTGCCCTTTATGCTATCTCCTATCTTCAAGGATATTTGGGTGCTGAAAGTTGCCCAACTACTATTGACTTAGAACCATGGTCACAAGTCGTTTCTTTACAGACGCATACTTTATTTAATTCATTATTGTTTTCTTCGCGATTGAATATTACGTGGTCCCTCTCTTTCCGACCTCCGAGGCAGGACTTGCAACCAGCTTCGCCACTCTGATCCATCTTACCGCATTCGATTTTTCAGACTGCTTAGAAACTTTGGAAAAATTTGAATCTCTTTGTCCTTGCTCAATTGGTTTCCCCTTGTGGACGATATCTTATGAATTGGCTTGACCTTCGATACCTTGGTATCGTTGGTCGTAAAGGACGAATTCCAACTTGGTTCAATTTTATTAAAAATAATTTTCTTTCTTCTCCTTTTTCTTCTTTATTGTTGCCTTTATATTTTATTAATTCTTCTTTTACTTTAGCTTCTCCTTGTTTATTAGATCCTACTGTTAAAGATTATTCTTTTTATCCTCAATGGGCTATTAATTTTAATTCTGCTACCCAAACTTTATCTGTGGGCCGTGTTTGTATCACCTACAAGAAACAAGATTCTGCTATCATGTCTCATTGGCTTCCTGT